ATCACCTGATCGAACACCAACAACAACACCATTTTCATATACGATTTCATCAGCTGGTTTATCAAGCATATATGTTCCACCATAAATAGCACTTAGACTTAAAAAAAAAAGAAACAATTTTGTCAAAATTCAGAAAAGAGACGAAATCTAAACTGTCACTCGTCAGACGAACTAATATAGGCCACGATGAGATCAGTAGAAGCCTATAAGGATTCGTTTCTATGCATTATTCTCTACTCAAGTTATTACAATTTTATAGAATTTCTTATCTCTGATAAGATATTCATCAAATATTGAAGTACGAAGTTTTGATCTCAACCTTTTAAAAAAACAGAAAAATAGTATCTCGTATCTACGAAACAATTATCTAAATTCGACTAGTTAACGACAAAATATCAATTAGATTATTATACATTTAGACATCATTAAATGCACTATTAAAATCAATAGCAAGAGATAATTAATTCAAAATATTCTTCTCTATAATATTTATTTACCGTGCAAAACCTTGTGGTAATTCACCAAGTCCATAAAGTGGATAAAGATAAGGTGATTTACCATAACGTGCCAATGATTCACTGTATAATTTAATTCGTTTAATTGATTCAAGAGCTGGTTTTTCCAAATAACTAAATAGCAAAAAAAAAAAAAACAAAACTCGATTATAAACAAATGTTTTCTTTTTTTTTCTTCTAATCTTATTCATTTACTCATCATCACTATGAAGTGCTAATGCATGACCAGTAAAATCAATTGTATCTTGATCAAGACCAAATTTTTTAAATGCATCAATCATACGTGTATGTGGTGGTATATCTTTATATGTTTTAGGATCTTTTTCATCATATTCATTAATCCATACAAGTAAATTACGAAAACGACGTTTTTCAAAAAGACCCATTAATGCTAAAATATATAGATTAAAGAAAAATTTTAATAATTAATTCTTTTTTTTCTTTTTTTTTTGTTTATCTTACATGATGCAAGTGCTTCACGTTCATCAGCTGGAACTTTATGAATTTTTTGTCCTTTGTATACATAACTACCTTCAATACATTTAAATTCTAAATAACGTGTTACACCTGTATGAATTAATAATTTCACCAAAAGACCTATGATCAAAAAAAACAAGTTTTTTTTTTTTTTTGTTTCTTTTATTTTACCATTGGCCATAAGAAATTTTGGAATTAAATCAACATTCCAATCACGACCACGTCCTGTATCTGATGGTGGTGGTGGTAAATTAAATTTTGAATAAAGCTTATAAAAATTTACATATAAACAAAAATACATAATTTAATAAATTAAAAATATTATTTATTTACATCTTCTAATGGTGTCATTGATGCTGATTCACCACCATAATATTTATTACGATCCATATGTAAAATTTTCTTGCCGGCTACACCAAGTAAACCAGCTAATACACATTCCTATAGAATAATAAAAAATTTTCATGTTTTGTTTTTTTTTTTTTATAAAATTCTTTGATTTTAATTTAATACCTTTAAACCAGTACCTAATAAGATAACATCATACTCTTCATCCATGATATAATATATTTTTTTTTGGGATGATACGAGAGAACAAAAAACAAAAAAAAAAAATAAATAAATAGAAGATTGAATTGACTAGTTGGTCTAAAAGAATGATAATGATATATAAAAATAACATATAAATAATAAGACGATATAGAAACGCGTCAATTCTTGAAGGTAAGCTAATGATATGTTTACTCATTATCGTCAATATAACTTTAGCACAGGTGTCGAAACAAGTAGCGACAAATGCATTATTTTAGCACACTTTTAATCTTGATTATTATTTTTGTCCTTTTTATTAGGGCACTAAGTATTCAATTTTGATTGGTATCAGTTATTTCAAAAAAAAATAAAAACGAACGACATCTTTAAAATAATATAAAAATAAATCATTATGAAAAATTACAAATTAAATATTTCTAAAAAAAAATTAATTTTTTTCAAATGAAAAATATTTATCTAATTGTCGCTACTATCAATGATACAAGTTCTGTCCAGTGTTCTCATAAAATGATGAATTATATTATATTGCTGATGATTCTCTCAAAAAAATCGAACTTAATAATAATAAATCATCATGAAGAAAAAAAAAACCCTATCGAAACATATTACCCTTGTATATCTTTCCATATGTCAATTGCATAATATTATATTCTAATTATAAATTATCTTGATTAGATTAAATAATATTTTTCTTCAATGAAAATGATTTACTAATGAAATTCGTTCAAGTTATAATAAATGAAATATATTTAAATATCAATCAATTGAAATTTAATGAAATATATTGAAATTCGAATGTAGGAATTCATTTGACTGAATTTTTGCTAGTTTTAATCATTATCGAAATTAATTATTGAGTTCCGATCGGAAATAAAATTTTTTCCTATCGGAAATCTTACAAATTCGAATATTAAAATTTAAATACAAGAAATAATAAAATTTATATATATTCATACAATATTACCAAAAGGAAGATTTCAATTGTACTCTTTTTTTATCATTAATATTATCATATAATTTTAAAATATGTACAGCTAGATATTTTTTTTTTATTTACTTTTATTGCATGAAATATAAATTTGATTTTTATTATCTCTATTTAATATTTTTCTGATGAACAGTTAATACATCAATTGAATTCAATGACAATCGTAGAAGAAAAAATCATCATGGTAGAAATATAAAAAAAATAAAATAAATGAATTATTGGAAAAATTTTTTTTTTTTTGTTTCTATTAGAATCAATTAAACGATAACAAATCAATCATAAAAACAATACAAAATTAATGATGAAAATAGTCTAATGGTAAATGAAAAGTTTTATGAATTAATTGGTTATTTGTTCGATACTATTCATTGTCCATTAAAATAAAATTGAGTCAATGATTATATCTATATTTTGATTTCTCGACTATTACTGAGAGAATCTTTTATGTATTAGCTCAGTATGAGACTCAATTTATTTATTATTAAATTTAAGATATAATAGTTCAAATATGTTTTTGAATAAAATACATTAAAAAAAAAGGAACTAGATTGAAATAGAAATAATAAATTTTAAATAAAATTATTCTATAAAATAGATTTTTTGAATTTTAAAAATCTATTTTCCCAATTGAATTTTTTTAATCTAATTTATTGAAATAATTATTATGTCAATGAATAAGAATATTATTGATTTCTGTGTATTAGCAAAGCACTAAACATCATAAAGTTCTAATATTGACTTCATATGTTAAAAATAATGATAAATCTATAGAATATTGTTTAATATATTGTATACAATAGTCAAGAAAGTTAATGCACATATGATAGAGCCATGTATTAGTTTGATAGATTCATACAATACATCAAAGTTTTCAACATCTTTCACAACAAATAGTCATATCTTCATTATGAAGTCGAAGATTTTTCTTCACTTTCAATAGTTATTTTCAACATTAAGTAATTTCTTTTGTGAAGGTTATTGCTTCACCATTATTTTATTTTTGAGTGTAAGGTAGATTGATAAGTTTTTCTTTTGAGAATTGAAATACAATAAAAGTCAATGTTGATGTGTGTGTTTTTTTTTAAGTGCATATATTTTGACACAAATTGTAAATTTTTTCTGAATTGTACAAGTGTTATGCAGTACAAAATGTGAGTATGAAAATAATGAGTAATTGAAACAAAATTAAAGAAAATATTCATTTACTTCTTAGTGTTTTTTTTTCTTCTTTTGACAAGAATTAAACGAACATTTTGTTCTCTTTTACCTGTTAAGAAGCACTAAATGTATTTCATTTGAATGAAATAAAAAAAAAAAACTTTGTTCCTCTTATATTCTTAATTAGAAAAAAAAAAATTACATTGACTTCAATTTTAATGATAAAGTAGTTTATAACTGAATTTTTTTTGTAATTTAATCTAACGAATGTTTTTTGTATGGGTTATAAAGTTTAGTGTTCGAAAATTTTTTACATAGGATTTCTTTTGTAAATTACTTTTCTTTTATTCGATATTTAGAGCTTTACAACAAAAAATATAGAAGGAAGAAAATTTCTAAGGAATCGAGAATACTTTTATAGTTAAATACTATTTACTTTACATTTTAGATTTTATAAGCGTTTTTTTAATCAAACATGACAATCTTTTATCAGTAAGGAAATTTTTCTTTTTTTTTTTGTCTGATTTTTTTATTATTTCTTTTTCTATATAAATAAATTTTATTAAAAAATGTACTTAATCATAGTCTACTATAGACAATGGATTACTTAAATTTCTATATATATATATATATATTAATGTTATTATTTAATTAATTTTTATTAGATATTAATTTCTATACATATTAAAAGTAATAATGAATGGAATAAGATTAAAATTATGTAAAATTTTATAGAATAGTAAATATGATATCACAAAATTATAACAAAAGAATACGAGTAAATATGTAAGTAGAATATATTTTCTAGTGTTTAAATTATTAACACTTGAAAATTTATTAAAATGTTAGATAATTATTTAATTAGTTGAAATATTTATCATAAATTTATTTTATTTCATATTTCTTTAAAAAAAAAATAAATGCGATATATTTGTACTTTTAATAGAATGACTGATTATATTTCTTTTTATGTTTTTTTTCATGTTACTTTCATCTGTGTACCTTAGTTTTTTTTTTTTTTTTCTTTTCTTACTTATTCTCTTGACTACTACTACAAACTAATACAAATATTCATTCATAGTCATAATTTTTAATCGAATATAGATTGATGATTGTATACTTTAATTCTTTTTTTTTTCGAGGTATATTTTATCGGTAAATGTATATCAATATCGATCAACTTATTTTTTTTTTTATGAAAGAGTAAAAGTATATATTTGAATAGAAAAAAAAGTAAAAATAAGAGAAATAACAGTTCTACTTTTTTTTTTTGCTTCTCTTTTCTTAATTTATTATTTTTTAGATGCTCCATGTTCAGGTGGATAACATGTCCTTGTCAGCAACCATTATATTATCGACGATCTATTATATTTCCATTAATTACATTTATGATAACAACTGGTCTTCTATATGGATTTGTTGAACATTATACAGTAACAACTCATTTAATAAATTCAGCACTATATTCAAATGTATAATAAATATATTTTATTAATATACAATAAGAATTCATTATATTTATTCTTTTTTTTTTAGTCTACTTTTTTTAATTTACAATGTAAATTAAAAAATGAAACTATACGTGCTATTAATTTAGCTTCGAATGATTATTGTAAAAATTTACTAAAAAATATTTCATGTAAAATTGATTCAAATCCAAATTTTTTTCCGAAATCATTACCACGTTTTTGTCCTATTCAAAGTAATAATAATAATAAGATCTTCTTATTATCTATTTGAATTTTTTTTTTACTATAGAAGGTAATTTTGGTGATGTTATTGGTTGTGTATCAAGTGATGAAAATTCAACACATCATATAAACAAGTCACAAATATTTGATAATGATATTATGTGTATTGATTATTGTTTAAAACATAGTGTATCTTTTGCTGGTAAAGTTTCATTCAATAGTTAAATTGTACAAAAGAACAAAATAGTAAAGTATTTCTAAAAATAAGATAATGTAGGAGAAATGTCTGAAAACTATTTTCTTCTTTTTTTTGCTGCATACTTATTTATGATGTTTTATAATCATAAATTACTCAAAAAAAATTGTTCTATAGATCGAATTTCTTTTATAACCTTGTAATTTCACTTAAGTTGCTCATTTCTTTTTTGACAGGTATTATTGACATATGTGCACTTAATATCGATTTGTAATATATAATAAAGATTAAGAATAGGACAGATTTTTTTTCTTGTCTAATATGTACTATAGAATTATTTTCAAATTATGATTGACAAATCCAAATTGTATAGACTTTCGTGTTATCAAAAAAAAATATTGAAGTCTAAGTGTAGAACCTAAAATCCTTCTCATACAAAATATATCTCAATAATATATCTAATAAAAGCATGATGAAGAAATATATGTCATAATAGATAGAACAAAACAATCTTTCTGTGATTAACATCAACAACTATCTAATGGAAATGAGACATTTCACACCATCTTTTCATTACGATCTTCGGACATAAGACAGGATGTTCGGAATGACAAAATCAATCAAAAATTAAAAAAAACAGGGTGTTCATAATGAAATTTGTCCAGGACAAAAATCATTTCCGAACACTCGGACACATGACAGGAGTTTGGAATGACTTACGAGGGAACATTCCCAAGTGTCCCATAGTTTTTGAGTTCGGACTCTATGCATAAGGTAGATCCCAGTGATGTATGAAAAACCCCAGAAGAATAAGTGCCCTTAGGCCTTCTGTCTAGAGTTATAGGCATTTTTAGCGAAATTTTAGCCTTTGGCATGGTATATACGGATAAATCGAATGACTGTATTTCGACCTGAGATTTTGTCCACAGATAGATCTATTTGTGAGTAGAATATCCTGAAAATTTTAGCTCAAAAGAATGTTTTATTCCTGAGATATTAAAGTCCCAAAAAACAGTAAATTCTAGCATCTTTCGTGGGATATTATTGATTTTTGGGACTTTAATATCTCAGGAATAAAACATTCTTTTGAGCTGAAATTTTCAGCGTATTCTACTCACAAATAGATCTATGTGTGGGCAAAATCTTAGGTCGAAATACCATCATTTGATTTGTCGGTATTTACCATGCCAAAGGCTAAAATTTCGGTAAAATGCCTATAACTCTACACAGAAGGCCTAAGGGCACTTATTCTTCTGGGGTTTTTCATACGTTACTGGGATCTACCTTATGCATAGAGTCCGAACTCAAAAACGATGGGACACTTGGGAATGTTCCCTCGTTAGTGCGAAATGTCCGTCACTTCTATCTAATCGCTTAGAGATTGCTTCAATAGGGTGTTTTTTATGTTAAATCTATAAAATGATTTAATGTATTGAAAGGTCACTATAACTTCAAAATTAATTGTAAACTCTGTATGACTTAGAAATATTTTTAAATAGATTTTTTTTGTTTTTTGGATATTGATATATATCTATTAAATATCTTGTTTTTATAGAATATAATGAATTTACTGGTCAATGTTATTGTTTATCAACATTAAATAATCAACATCATTTAATAATACCAAATCAAAAATGTACAAAAATAATTTTTAATAATAATAATGAAAAACAAAATTTCACAACAATTTATCGAACTGGTTTTATTGATTTTGGAAATCATCTTGAAAAACGTCGTTCAATACAAAATCATAATCAAACAATTATTGTTTTTTTTTTAACAGTTGGTGGTCGAAAAAATCTTCGACAAATAAAACGATTAGTACGAGCTATTTATTTACGACAACATTATTATTTAATACATGTTGATAGCGTATGTATTTAAAAAACTGAAAAAAAAACAAAAAAAAATTTTTTTTTTTCGGTTTTTTTTTTTCATATAAAAATATAATTAATTTTGTGTTAGTACAGCGTGAAAATTATTTATATGAAGAATTATTAAGATTATCAAAAAGAATTTCAAATATTCATTTAACTAATAAACGTTATCCAACAACATGGGGTGCATCAACATTATTAACAGCACATTTAGATGCATTTAAACAAATATTTAATGAATTAAAATGGAATTTTTCTTTTATACTTAATTTAAGTGAAACAGATTTTCCATTAAAGTAAATCAAAAATTTTTTTTCTAATAATAATAAAATTATTATTTTATATTTTTCAAATAGACCTATTCAAGTTTTAACAACTTTTCTATCAATGTATACATCATATAATTTTCTTCGTTCACATAGTCGAGAACCATATAAGTATGTTTCATAATATTTTTAATTATAGATTTTTTATTAGTTTTTTTTTTTTTTAATTTAAAGATTTATTAAATCTCAAGGATTATTTCATACATTTATTCATTGTAATGATTATATGTATCGTATTGATTCAAGATCATTAATTCAAAGTATAAATTAGAGAAGGAAAAAAAAAAAAAAAGAATTTTTTTCTTTTTTTTTTGTATTAAATTATATAATATTTTTTTAGATATTATTTATGATGGTGGATCTGATTGGTATGTATTAAATCGTGAATTTGTATATTATGTAACATATGGTAATGATGAACTTGTAAATGGTCTTCGACATACATTTAATTATTCATTATTACCTTGCGAAGTTTGTTTAACAAAATTTAAATATAAAAAATAAAGTCTGTTTTTTTTTAGAGTTTTTTTCATACTCTATTAAGTAATAGTATTTATTGTGATACATATATTCGAAATAATTTACGTCTTGTACATTGGAATCGAGAACGTGGATGTAAATGTCAACATAAAAATGTTGTAGATTGGTGTGGTTGTTCACCAATTATTTATAGAAATATTGATAAAATAATATTGAATGTAAGATTATTTTAGTAAATATTATTTTCATTTTTATATTATGAAATAGAATAGAAATAAATAATTCAATTTGAATACTTTTTATATAAATTGAAAAACATATAAGATTTATAAGCTTTTAATAGATTTTGTTTTTTTTATTAATTAACACTTAAATATGTTGAATTTTCGATATTGAGAGAGTGATAAATTCTAAAATATGTACTTGTTAAGTTTCAGAAGCTTTTCATAAGTAATAAAACTTTTCAACAACATGAGAAGTGGTTTTTTTTGATAACTAACAAAGTTCACTAGTACAATATTATATATTTATCGATATTAAGATCGATATAGGAATATAAGCATCAACTTATCTACTTCACAATGAATAGAATTAACTGACACGATTAGAAAATATATCAACATTGAAATGAGAATAGAAAAGAATCGAAGAATGATAATATTCATTAATTGATCCAATGAATTGAAAAACAAAACAACAAAAAGAAAAATTATGGTCTTCATATAGCATAATGCAATCAACTTATTTGATATTAGCTACAGTCATAGACAAAAGTTTAAAGGAAAATGTATTTTTCATTTTTTGCTATAATAACAAGTATCTACCTGAAATTCAAATAGTGATTCGGATAGTCAATGAAGAGCTCTATCAAATGCATCCGATACCAAAATTTCATAGATGATTTAAGGTAGCAAGGTTTCTAGAAAACCCAAAACCGTATTTTTCGGGTGTCAGAAGACTTTGCAATAATTCGTTTCTAACAGTACTAACTTAAAGAACACAAAATTCTGAAGAAAATGAAGGGTTGCTGCCTTTCCTTTCAAAAGTTATAAGCATCACAAAAATATGATTTTTAGCCGTTTCTTGATAAATTTCACTTTTTTTTTCCAGTTTTTGTAATGCTTATAAATTTTGAAAGGAAAGGCGGCGACCCTTCATTTTATTCAAAATTTTGTGTTCTTTACGTTGATACTGTTAGAAACGAATTATTGCAAAGTCTTCTGAGACCTGAAAAATACGGTTTTAGGTTTTCTAGAAACCTTGCTACCTTAAATCATCTATGTAATTTTGGTATAGGATGCATTTGATAGAGCTCTTCATTGGCTATCCAAATCACTATTCGAATTTCAGTTAGATACTTTTTATTATGGAAAAAAATCAAAAATACATTTTCGTTTAAACTTTTGTCTTTAACTATACTTCTGCAAGTAGTAAGAAAGTCATTTTTAGAATGTAGTTAGCTGCATCAAAAGCTTAAAGTTAGCTTTCTATTGTTTTTGTATGAATTATGATTTTAAGAAGATATTCAAGATATAAGATGTGAGTTTGAATGGAACGAAGACACCCATCACATCCAAAAGGTATAATGACTTTTGCGATCATCATTAAAGACTGATGAAACTTCCTTGGAGAAGTTATTTTCTTGTTCCTCTACTCGGAGATACTCCTATCAATGTAATAAAAGATTTTTTAACCAGTATAACTAGATTTCAAATATAATTGAACTCTAAAAAAAACTTTATTTAGTGTTACATCAATATTTTCTTCTTTTTCCTTTGTGATAGGAAACAATTGATAAACCTTTCTTTTTTGCTCGTAAATTTGATCCAACTATTGATGAAACAATTCTTGATTGGCTTGATGAAAAAATTTCAAGACGAAATTTATCGAATAGTAAAAAAACAAAAAATTTTAATTTTAATCTAATTAAAACAAAAAAAAAAACTTCTAAAAAAATTTTAGGTGCTTTTTATTTACAAAATATTTATCATATAAATTATGATTTAAATAATTTAAATAATGTATTAAAATTAATTGATTCATATGCACGTACAATACTTATTGATTATCAAGAACATCGACGTAATTGTTTTCATGATGATAATATTCAATTAGAACAAATTCATGCCATATTTCAATTAAGTTTATATCAAGGTTATTCATTACAATATAAATTTAATGATGGAGAACAAATTGAATTATTTATTCAATTAAATTCTTTTACAACTATTAATTCAAAACAAATTAAAAGATTTGAAGTAAATTTTTTCTTTTACTAAAATAATTTATTAATATAAATTTAAATTTTCTTTAGATTGGTCAAGAATTAGATAGTAAAGAAATTATTTTTATTGATCGTAGTAGAACATTTATTGAACCAAAATTAGTCAAAGTTCTTATTGAATGGGAATCTATGACAGATAATGATACATCTTTAATTATTAATAGTCCTAATGGTATGATTATCTAATCTAAAAAAAAATATTTTGTATTACTTATTAGAATACTCATTCGATAATCAGAGATCACCTCAGTATTAGTTAAAAAATCATCTTATAAATATTTATTAAGATTATGTTTCAACAGATTAGTGAATTTTCCTAACAATATACTAAAAGATACAGTGAAACAATTTACCAGTTGGTGTATGACAGTATATCTACTATTTACGAGGGAACATTCCCAACTGTCACATCGCTTTTGAGTCGAGCGTATGCGCATCATGTAGGCCCTAATGATCTATGAATACTCTGAAAAAATTTCGTGCTGCTAGCTTATTACTACCTAGATATTGCATTTTTACTGTATGTTTAAGCAGCAAGCCGTGGACCCCCTCAGGAATGCTAGGAAAACTGACTTTCGAATTTCAACTTGAAACTTTGCATAGAGATAGGCCTCAATGAGAATAGTTTATTCTGAAAGTTTCAGATCTTTTGATTGCTCCCAGTCTGAAATAAGAATATCGGAATCTGCTGGTGTATGTCAGCGATTTTACCAGAGCTGTATCGTAGGATAGGAACAACGAAAAGATCTGAAACTTTCAAAATAAACTATTCTCATTGAGGCCTATTTCTATGCAAAGTTTCAAGTTGAAATTCGAAAGTCAGTTTTCCTAGCGTTCCTGAGGGGGACCACGGCTTTCTGCTTAAACATACAGTAAAAATGCAATATCTAGGTAGTAATAAGCTAGCAGCACGAACTTTTTTCAGAGTATTCATAGATCATTATGGCCTACATGATGCGCATAGGCTCGACTCAAAAGCAATGTGACAGTTGGGAATGCTCCCTCGTTAGTGGCGTACTCAGGATTTTTCAGTATGCTGGATCTCGACTTCTAAGCATGGGTCCCAAATGAAAGTCATGGGGGATGATGTTAGGCTCAAATGATGGAATTTTAACAAAAAAAAAATTGAACTCGAAGTTTGCGAAAAAAATTAGCATTTTCCTGGTCCCTCCCCCTTGGATTGTTTTTGCTGTTAGTAGTATCCTGATTTTTAGAGTTTCA